GTATTGTCGTAGGGGGACATGAGGGAGAAGGACAAGAGGGAGGAAGAGTGCCAGGCCCAAAGTCAGTCGAAAAGGGGGCCCGCAACTCGTATCTCAAGGTCTCTCCTAGCCGCCCCTCAAGGCAATCCCATCTACGGTACACGAAACCGCCAGTGATTTTGGTACAATCCGACTAATCTACCTCCACGCACGAACACCCTCCCTTGGTTCCTTACGCCAGTGAATAACCACCACTCGTGCGTCGAAGAGTACATCCTAAAAGCACCTAAAACCTCGCAAATCAGAAACAAGGGGAAACCCGCCAACGGATCAAAACCCCTTACAAATCTCAACGCCTTCACGCCGTTCATATCATGAAAGATTCCAACGGCCGTACTGCAACAAGAAGCCGGGCTGCACTGACTGTACACGACACCTGGCGCCAGGGCCATTTATTTTTGTTGTTTTTTGCTGTTGAGAAAGGAGTTTCTCACCCAGTGTCTAACGAAGAGACGGCTGGTCTAGGAGACAGACTCCTGCTCGTGAGCCTACCCGTCTTGAGGTCGATTCTCGCCACTCTGGCGTTTTTTGAATGGCCGAAAAAGTTCGACCAGAAGATTGACGGCCCCCGAAGTAATTAATCTTCTCACCATATTACCTCCCCTAAACTTTATCTTAGCGGGGGGTCTTGGCACTGTTTTTGACCGCTCCCCAACAACATCAATCAACCACAGAGTACAGCAGTAGTGGGTTTGGAACATGGAGAACTTATTTAAGAGAAAGTACGGATTTAAGAGAGAGGAATTGGCTTGTACCAATCACAATCGATTTAGGAGTAAATTTCCTATTGCAGCTGGGATTTTTCTCTTAAATCGAACAATAGGTATATTGAACAAGCTTTAAAAGTTTTAGAACCTTATAAAGGAATTCAAGGTTTAAAAATACAAATACAGGGAAGGTTATATTTAACTAGACGCTTTTGGATGAATAATAATGGTAGTTATTATTCTTGGAATCCATCTTTGGAATTCGTTCTTAAAACATTATCAGACCGTAAAAGACTTGCTTTTTTAGAGGCAAGTGAAAAGTTAAATTCAGCTAATTATCTTTTAGGAAAGGCGCAAAGAGACCTGACTCTTGAAGAGCGTAATAGATCCAATGCAATAGCAGATAATGCTCAGGCTGAGTTAATGGCAATGGACGGAGAAGTTATACCAGCGGTACAAGAATAATCGACGACATTTTTTATTTTTCTTAATAATTATTATTTGGTTTTGGGGAGGGTAGTACAGCCCGACTTCCAACCAACAGAGAAAATATATTAATATGCTACAAGCTCTGGACGACTGAGCCCCTATGAACGCAAGAAAAGCGAGGTACCAACCAACGACTGAATAAAAATGGTTTCGGGGGTTGGGGTAGGGGGAACAAAGAGACACCTCGCTCACGAAAGACCGTCGAACAAATAATAACATAGTGCAGTGGTCATCGAGAGGAAAAACAAGAGCACAAACAGTAACTACGATAGCAGACGCATGCATGCACCCGCGAACCGGTCTCACAAATGGACCTTCCCGTACTGAAGTGTGCAATGTTTCACTGGAGACGAGGCGAAATCGCGTGAATGTGTAGATTATTGTGAGATGTCACGGGGACAGTTGGATACGTGTACATGGGCAACAC